TAATTTAATATGTTCTCTTTGATGTGAGGCAGGATGGCTTTAGGAACTGAGGGTCAAAACCCAAGCACAGTTTTGAGTTAGGATATGCCAAATAGTTGCCTCTGGTTTTGAACCACTGCTCATCTATCACTTGTTACCAGTGTATGCACAAATGTGGTTTTTGAGGTCAGATACGATGACTTCACGTGCCTTACAATGTATGTGTTGCATTGTGCACGTCTGTACATTTGTGCTATGGTATGCAATGGGGAGGTTTAGCTCCTGTTTCTAATATTTAACTGTTTCTTTCATTATGGCTGACCTACCAAATATATGTGAGGAAAGAGGAGAATAAATATTTGGCAATAGGCAAAATATGAAGCTGTATTTGAAATAATTGAAAATATTCCTTATTTGGTTATTGGTTGCCTTTAACTGTATATGTGAGTTCAACCCTTTGGGTCCCTCTGAATTGCAGGAATTCCTGGAGAAGTGAAAGAGGGAAGTTTCTGACACATGCTTTGCTTTCAACTCCATTTATTGAGCCATAAACTGACCTCTATTTGTTCAAAACCAGAACAAGTGTCCTAAATATGGCAAAACAGGGGGAAAGAGCTAAGTGGTCAGCAAGTTGCAGAAGATGGGAACAGTTAAAGGCTCCTACCTGTCAGCACCATTACTGCTATTGACTAGAAAACCTGCTGTGGCAACTGACCTGCACTTGATGAGGGACTTGGGGTCAAAGTTATAAAGATATATAAGGAAACAGAAATATAGATTTCTTTGTGAACTAACAGTTTTGTCTTAGCTTTGCATCTCCCAAACTTGAGGAATAGTAGAATCAAAAAAAAGTCTGGGTTGGAAGAGTCCTATGGAGATCATCTCATCCAACCTCCTCTTGAAAGCAGGGCCTTAAAAGAAATAATTATCTACTGAGGTGCTGCTGTGTGAGTCAAAGCAGTACTTGGGTGCCTCTGAAAATCTGGGACGTAGCAAAATGAATTTTTCTGTGCAAGGCTTTTCTGATGTATGTCTGTCTTAATAATTTTTAAGACTTGCAAACAATAGAAAAAAGCCTTCTGGTTTTCCTTTTACTTTATACTCTATTAGCAGGTTGAAGGATGGTCGTAAAGGGATGGAATGAACTCGAATAGCATTTAATACCTTCTATTTTTAGAAAACTATTGAAATCATGTATTTTTCTTATAATACAACAGCAGCCTACAAATATATCTGAGTTTTCTGAAAGCCTATCTAAAATATTTCTCACAGCAGTTAACTCTAGAGCTCTAAGTGGATAATTGGGATGACATTCATAAGATAAACCCATTTTTTGCTGTTTTTCACCAAAATTTTAAGTAGGTGTTGTTCCAGGTAAGGCCATAGGACTTCTGGCTAATCACTTCATAGGTTCCATGTGCACAGGTATGAAAGAAGAAAAAATATATTTTACACTGTCTGTTATTCTTTGAGATAAAACACACATAAGGATATCTTAAGCCTCTTTTTCCCTTCTTAATAGCACAGATTTTTCTCCTCAATATTCTGTGCTACAAAAGATCTGAGTGGTGCTATCTGAGGCCAGGTATAGAAACCTGATGTCATCAGGAGAGCAGCACAATTGGAGATCTATGTGTGTCCGTGCATCTGTGCTAGATGTACTTTAGCAGGTGCCACTAATGAAAACATTTCAAATTCCTGCTAATGGGTACTCTTCAAGAGGGGGCAATTTTTAAAGCGCCTTGTTTGCTGTTTGGCAATTTCTAGTGCTCTGTGATATCCACGGCTAGCCCAGTTGTCATCTTTTGAAGAAAATGCAAAAGGCAGGTGCAAAAGCAGTTGAAGTGAATCTAAGACTGAAAGATTTCAAATGCTGATGCCCAAGCCTTTGACTTCTTCTGAGGGTAAAACAACAGTGTCTCTTTACATTCCACTAAATCTGTCCAAATGATAGATTAAAATCAACATGATGAGCCCTTGGACTTATAAATTTATCAGGAGATTGTCAGCTGTCTTCTCTCTAAGCTTAAGTCAGAATCTAAAATAAGCCTGGTGTTGTTTTTGCATGGAAGCTTTAATAACAGACATAAATATTACGTGTATGGCAGGAAAGGCTGGGAGCTCCTGAACCCTACTAGAACTCATGCTGGTAAGCCTCGATAGTCTGTCACTTGATTTACTTGAGTCCTTTCCTTGCTTTTTCCCAATTCATGAATAATATCTGTATATGGATAATAAATAACCTGGTGAGTAATAGCTATAGCAATGTATGTTGCCTGTTGTGCCCCTTCTCTTCCCGTTGGACTATCCAGTGATTGTTTTCTTGGCTCACATGCTCTCAAACCAAACAGAAATTTTGCACAGCATAGCATAATTCCTCCTTTATGTACTTTTCACCTAGCTCTTCCTCTGCTGAGGGAAAATAAATCAACGGCCATCTCCTGTATCCGTGCTGTGGAGCTTGCAATAAGAGGGCAACTTAATTGTACTTGCTGCTGGGCCAATGTTTGAGCTTCTGCTTTCCTCCCATAGCAGCCATCATTAATGCCAATTGATGTGTACCCTTTCCCTGTTGCTAGGTGATATGTGCCTTAAAAAAAGCAGCTCCTATTGGTGCTCAGGGATTCTCACAAATCTTGTTTGCTCTTGGTTCACATGATGTGCAGTGAGGTTTGCAGGACCAGAACACAACTCAAAGATTGGGTCATTTCTTTCTGCTGTTCATTGGGCTGTAAATCACTAAAAAATCCCAGTTTTCCTGACTACAGAAAGAATAACATCCTGTTGTGGTGGAAGGCAATGGCAAGACTTTCTGCTTCATGGGCTGGGTTCTGGACTTTCCTCTACATAGATAATTTGTTGACAAGTGTCCTTCAGCATGGACTTGGTTGCAGTACCCACATGTTGTGCTGCAAAACCAGTGTTTCACCAGTATTTGTTAGGTAAAGTGTTCTCTGAGACTCAGTGAGAAGCCCAAAGATTGATTTGGGACTCTTACTTTCAAAGGGTACATTCTCTTTGTTTATAATCTCTTTAGATGTCCCTATCTCCTTGATATTTCAAGTCTGAGTAGATATTCTCAGGACTGTGGTCTCTCTACTTTGGATGGAATTAAATTCAGTGGCCACAGGCTGAATAGTGTTGTGTTTCAAGCAGCTGCATTAACTGTAGAGGATTGGCAGCTCAGGCTCTGCCCCAACTATGAATTTACCTGATAAAAAGGATCAATTTGATCTTTTTTTTTTTTTTTCCTAGGTTCCTTTCGAAATATGTGAAATGTAAGGATATGTGGTTACTGGCTATTCAGCATAAAAGACTAAGACACGAGACAGGACAAGTAATAAATTAAACTCTCATATACCCATACCCTGAGGAAGAGGAGATAACAAGACTGTAACAAATAGCAGAACTCTTAGATCACTGATTGATGGGACCTTAAAAGAACCTCTCAGTGCATCCAGGAGGTTCAGCCAGAGCTCTGTAACTGGTTATCATGGATCTCATGGGAAAGAGCAAACTTACAATGGGATATTTGAGAGGGCTTGTAGGATCACATAAAACTTACCATGGGATGTTTTAAGGGATGTGGGAAAGTGTTAAATTTACTTTTGGATGTGTAGGGGAGAGCCAAAGACAGCCAAATGGAGGGATCAAGATAGATGGGGGATGAACAAGCATGGGAAAATAGAGAAGAAGGGGGATAGAAGTGTCATCTGCATGCAGTCAAGCTGCTGTCAGTATTTTTTGTCAGGCTATGCCCTGTGCCTGATCATCATAGTGTGTCCTATCTTCTCGTTAAACTAAATAATTGAATGTTTTCCTTTGTGAGTGTGCTCTCTATTCTGTGTGCATGTCTTTATGATCTGCTGGCAAATTTCAAGCCAGGCCAGCTGGTGAGTAGAGTGCCAGCAACTGCAGAGACTGAGGTTTGAAGGGACCTGCAGGTCTGAGCACTAGCAACTGCAGAGACTGATTATCTGGACACCAGCTATTGAACAGACCGAGCATCTCACTGCTGCTGATGAAGGGACCCGTCAGCATGTATGATTCTAATAGGAATTTAAAGCTGGAATAACTGGTGAGCAGGAGGAGAAGTGTGGGAGCCAGCTACCAGAGTCCATATGTTGGAACGGTGGAGGGACCAAAGGTCTGAGGACCAGCTGCTGGACAGACCACCAGTCTGGAACAGCTACAGGAGAAACCTGTTTGTGTTGGGTTTGGGTGCGAGATGTACTAGCAAACTCTCCGTCTGATTAGCCTGTAAGTGAGAAGAGGATCAGCCCATTTGTATGTTTATGTGAGTCTTGTTGGTGTGTATATGGAGACTGTAAAAATGCTGCTCTCTTGTCTGTGGGTAGTCAGCTGTGGCTGTATAGTGTGTGTATGTACGTGTGGTGTAGTTTTTTAGGGATGCCTGTCCCCACTAGTGGCCAGACCTGCTGTCAAGGTAATGCAGTATTTGATGGCCAGAAGAAAGAATCCCTTAGATCCCATTGTCCACCAGATTTGGTTTCCCTGTAACTGCTGCGAATTCAGCTTGTCTTCAAAGCTTACTGAAAACTCAGTTTTGGAGGAAGCCTAAAAACACAGTATTCTACTTAGAAGGGAATGGTTTTCATACAAAATATGAAAGGAAATATGGGCTTATAATGGAGCAATCTCTTCTGTGTGTGTATCTGGTAGCTGTAATGTCATTCACATTAACAGAGGACTCAGGACACCCACAGGGCAGATCTTGTAGGACATTAGGGAGGGCATTATCTCTGATATAAACCCCAAGATAATTGCATTACAATATGACTTTGGTTAGATGTTATTCCTCTGTGGGAGTCCAAGAAGCTAGGTTTTATTTGTGGCAAATTCTTGACAAGTCATCTTCCAGATTTATATCTAACATGACTCATAACCAACAGGAAAAGTGTTTTCTCTACATCTTACATGATTTTCTTTAGCTACACATGACACAAAGGGTACCGGTGATTTTGATCCTGCTTCTGTTTGCTATTCATTTTGTAGGCTTCTTTTTGTTTTTACTATGCTTCTTTATTCATACTATGCTTCTTTTAATTATTCTTAAAATATTTTCAATTATACAGCTATTGTTCTGAAGTTAGGTTTTACAACCAACAGGACATGTCACAGAGAAGTAAATAGAATTTATGCTACACTGCCACTGAAGTAAACTACTGCAACGATCACTACAATTATGATTGCCTTATACATCAAAGGTTTCTGCAGAATAAATACATTATTCATAATATGAAGACCGGTTTGCATTTCAGTTCTCATGTTTCCTTTTCATGACCTTTAGTTTTGAAAACACATTGCAGCTTTTCCAAGTCTTTCAGTTTCTGTCTTCATGATTTCATTTCAGTATTAACATAACTGTTAGACTTCATATCCCTAAAAATATCAGACAAATAAAACATAATCAGGTGAGACAGTGAGAAAGGAATGAAAGGAATCAAATTAAATAAGAAAAAATCTTGGCTTCTGGTATATGTTATCTTTCCTGGCCTGAACTTCGGCTTTATGCATGTGTCAGATGCAAGTCAGGGGTAGCCAACTGAAACTTGGTTCTGAAAAAGATGGACAGTTCAGATAAAGCAGCAGATACGATAAGAAGGACTGTTATTGAAGAGCTGGTTTAAATTACTCTTAGTAATGGGCAGGAAATATTTTTCCTATCCTGAAAAAAATTCTGAGATGTCAAAAAATTTTTTTCATCTTATCTTGGAATGAAAAATCAAAATCTCAAACATTGTCTCAGTAAGACACTCTGGAAAAAAAAAGAAAACATTTGGATAAGAAAAAAGCCAGCATTTTCAAACCCCTGCAATTCAGCTTGGAATTTTGTATTTTTGTTAACTTTAATTTGCATAAATTTAGATAATGGAAGAGTAATTTTCAGGTAGTTTTGCTTGGTCATTTTATAGTACTGAAATGGGATATTTTAATGATTCTGAACCTTTTTTGCCGAGGCTTTAAACTTTGCAAAATCAAACCTGATCTAAAAAAGCCTTGTCAAACCAAATCTTGTTATATTTTTGGCTTTGCCTATTTGGCATCTCCTCATTAGAAAAGATTTCATGAAGAGATTCTTTACTAGTTATTGTGATGAGACTTTTTGATTTGATGAACTGCAAATCTTTCTTTTGGTTAATTGGACTCATATTGAAATGCTTAGGGAATATCCCTCGAGGAAGTGTGGTTGTGTTTGATCATCGCTACCCTGATTTAATATGCATTTTACTACATGGCTCAAATGCTTGCATCGTATTACCTGGGTCAGATTCCTGAACATCTTGAGACAGAGACTTCCCAAATCTTTGTGGCAAATTTAGAAGTGACTGTCTGGAATTTTTAACAAGTGGAGATCTCCCAAGCCTGTATGATACCTTTGGAGCACGCCTAGGTACGTTCTCTGCAAAAGCTCTCCCAAATCTCAGAGGCAAATTAGCAATTGGTTTAATGCTTCTTTCTTCTGGATAATTTCTTCCAAACCGAAGAGGTAAATTAGCAACTGAATTTGGCATCTTGTTTACTGTAGGAGGGTTCATTTTAATGATATTTTTTGATCCCCAGTCGCTCATGTCTTCAAAATTGAGACTCCTCTGCTTTTCTTCCAAGATATTATCTTTAATCTAAAGAAAAAAATAATTAAAAAAAGGATGCTATCATTTTATAGGGCATTATTCCAGCTACCAATCACACAAAGTATTAATTTTCATATCTCCTGAGAAAGCTGCTGGGTAATGCTCTTTTTTGGATATTTAATGCTTTTTAGCTATATTGAGTAAGCTCCATTGTAGTGTGAGGTACTCCAGATGGATTACTTCATAAGCAGAAATTACCCTGCTTACTTTTTCAGCACACTGACCACAAGAGCACATCTCTGCATCAGTATCCACAACTATTCAAACGGTGTCAGTCAGAATTATTTCTGGGCATGGGTGTCAGTAGCTGTGCCATCAGTTAAGTGTGGACAGGAGTAATTTTCGGTCCATATTTGCTCATATCACCAACTGAAGCTGTCTGGAGGGGAACATGCTGACTATATTTAGTGACTTGACACAGGGCCAGCCTCTGTCTTATGCAGTCTGGATGAAGAGGAGGATGGGCCAGGCTAACTGAAGGTTTAGCTCCTTTCTTTGTAAGCAACGGGTGGATGCTTTTGACCCAATATCCTGCTGGGCTAACAGCCGGGGAAATTAACGGAAAGCGTTTGGTCAAGTCCATATCATGCCTCTTCTGGCCTTGCAGCATAGAGTTTGCCCTGAGCTTTAAGTTGCTTTAGACCTCCACTAGTATACAAGATGCACTAGGAGCTCCTGGGCTCCTGATTTTTGTGCAACCAGCACAAAAGCTGCTTCCTCTGTCTATGCTGGCATACAGTGAAGAACTGAGTCTAGTATGTTACCTGTCTCTTGACGTAAAGGGCAGCTGTTGCCTGAAAAATAGTAATATCAACATGACCTTTTCCTACAGAGCAGTGTTCCTTCCCTGGGCATGTTGAAAATCACTTATTTTTGTGACAAATACAAATATTTTTGTTACAAAAATAAGTTTCCAAGCCTTAACAGCAAGTATGTACAAATATCTTTTTTAATTTCAGTTAAAGACACAAATGCTACTAATCCTAATTTCAATTCCTTATCCCCATTTGGTGGCTTTCCCAGGAGCTTCTCCAGCTACTGTGAGAGAAGGGGAATGAACCGTTCTAATTCATACTCTGTGATCAAATATTAAACCAACTATCCCTCTGATTGCACCTGCACACCCATTCTGAAGTACATAAAAGACAGTGAGATGAAGACCGGAGGATTTCACTAGCATAATTAAAGTTGTATTTTGATTTGAAGGATCTTTATTACACCAATGATGATGAGTCAAAAAGAGAGGTTTTCTGTCATTTCCCAGGGAATACTTGCAAGGCAGACAAGAAAAATAATACAGAGGAACTGTGCAAATTTGATTTGGCATCTATTGAGACATAATAAATGTGCAGCCCTGAAAAGATATTTTTACAGTCCATTTCCAGAGTAGAATTTTAAGACCATTAACTATATTAGATTTATAATGTACTCTGTTTATCATTATTCAGTATTATAAGCATGCCTTTATTAATTTTGGATTAATAATGTGTCTGTTGCATTATGTACATAAAATGCCTGACAGAAATGTTAATTGAGGCCCCACTGTGTAAGAAACATTTCATAAAAAGTCTCAACCTGATCACAAGACTGTATTGCAAGAAAATGGAAAGATGAATTGATTTACACACTATGTGTGCCCAAGCAAGTGAATTTCTGAAAATTCTTTCAACAAGCCTTTTTCATGCTGCTAGTGCTGTAATGCTGAGTGCCATGCAATGAGGTTAGGAGAGCCTTTGCCAAAAAGTTGAAGGTGCTCAGGATCTGACCCACGGTTTCCCCCCAAAACGTCATAGTAATGCAGATCTTACCTCGTAATATTTATCATCATCGTCTTCTCTGCTCTGCAGGCTGGACTTCATCGGTTCATCTAGGCACATACTATGTGATGTTAGAAAGACTACTGTAGCTAAAGCAAATAGAATAAACTCCTTGGTTGAAATTGCTTTCATTTTTCTCAAATTAATCTTGCTTAGAGAGCTCAGAATCTGTACAGCAAAGAAAACTGCCATCATTTTATATGATCAGAAAACAAAAAGATTTTATTCCCTATGACATCAGTCTCAAAAGCTTCAATTCTTAATATTAATTAGGGAAGTAATTTGAATATATTTGAAGAATGTTGGGAATTTCTTTTGTGAACCTTTTTAACCAACGTAGCTTCTTGTACATAGCTGCCTTTTCAAACATTTTCTTCTGGTGAAATATGTATTAATTAGCTAAATTTGAGAGCCATAACACTAGGGACTTACAACAGCCACAACGTTCCATCCAGTTGCAGACAAAACCACCTTGCTGCTTCCTTTTGTATCAGTGTCCTTAGAAGGACTCTTCTGTTTAAATGGTCCTTTTGGACCATATAATGCTTGTTTATAGGGATGTACAACCAGGGATGTTTGGCCCATTGAATTCAAGGGCTAACTATTGAGCTGGTTGATCAGGTCATAAGACATGCTCTGCATCGATGAGATCTATTGACATACATAGTGTCTCTGCTCTAAATTGAACATATGAATTTGCGTTCAGACTGAATTAGGAACATGCTTTTAAAACTCTACACATCAGTTAAGTTTTTAGAACTTTCAAAGATTATGTTAGATCTATATTCTTAAGACCAAATTCCTAACAGTGGTTTTTAAAAAGGCATCTGCCACTTTTCTGCTCTTAGTGAAAGCACTGGACTGCCCATGTGTGTTCTGTTCCGGAATGGGATACAGGCTGCACACTAAATGTGCCCTTATTCCCCATATTCATTCCAGATAAATAGTGTACCTGCATCAGCGAGGTGCTGGATTTTCTCCCATGAGCTCTCTGAACTCTGGGGGATGAGTTCAAGGATCAGGAGTAACCCCATGCCCAAGATAAGGGCCACTAGACTTTTGGACACCTGAGCATTTGTTTGCCATTCCAGGTGAGCCAAGGGAGAGGGACTGAGACTAAGGGGTCAACCAGATGCAAGTGCTGAGCTGCAAGCCAGATGGAGAGAGAACATCTGGAAGCATAGCTATGTGAGGAGAGCTGGTGGGGGTAGTCTACCCAGCTGGCTTGCTACTGGTATGTGAGGTGAGCCTGCCTGGCACAGTGTGTGTGGGGAAATGCCTCCCTTCCCAGGGGAGAGAGAAATCCCATTAACAGAGCTGGAAGTGAAAAGGGAGCAGTTTCTCTAGGGTGAACTTCTCCAGGTGGAGAGGATGTGAAAGTTTCTGCCCATTTTTTATGTGACATGAGACCATTAAATTGTTAAAATAGATGAGAACAGTATTAGTAAGCTAATTAGGAGCCCCTGTGAGCAAAGAATGCATTTTAATTAGTCACTGGCTTTTGTGTGCAGCTTTCCCTTGTTGTTTTAGACACTATTTACATTCATTTCCTCTTTGTTTCTTTGCTGTGTGCAATCCTTCTGGCCCTGGCTGACAGCAGAAAAGGTTGGGTTCAAAGATCTGGCTCTTCCTTCAGGAAACTGCTAGAAGAAATGAAGTGTGATGGGAGAATAAGCACAGTTCTGCATAGTCTCAAGGGACAATGCTTCCCATCTTCATTCTCTGAGACTATTCCACAAGGTGTTGTTTTAGATGTGTGGGGTGTGGTAGATGGGGAGGGAAAAAGTACTGGACCAGTAATGATTCATAAAGAATGGTTCTATGTGCATACATAAACAAATGTATGTACAAATTAAGAAAGCTTCATCTGTTCTCCGAGTACCTCGGTAATAGCTCTTCTTTCAGAGTAGGTGATTTTTTTTTAATTATTTTTTTTTAAATAATAAATATTCTGGGCAGGGAAATGGAGTTTTGGGGATACCAGTATTTTGGTATTTGCAAATCAGGGTCAAATTATTTGGAAAACAGAGGGAATAAAAGGAAGATGTCAATGGAGAAGACCTCTATAAGGAACCCATGTCCTCTTTGTGCTCTGGCAGGTCAGGGACAGCAATTGCCTCTTTTCACCGAGGGCTGAGTGTGGGTTCCTGACTCTCTGGAGCCTCATGTCAGGGGGCTTCCATCTGTGGGAACAGATGGATTTTCCAAATTCCTTTTCTTTATGGTAACAATAAAGACAATAATGAATTCAATTCGTGCACTAATATCTATCTAACATGTGGTCATTTTACCTAGTTACTGGTTTATGAAGCTCTCTTGATCAATGGTCTTTCAATTAACTGTGTGAAGATATTTGCTTTCTAAATTAAATGGAATTGGCAAGATCCAAAACCTCTCCTGCATTGTTTGGCACAAATACAAATTCTGTTTTCCCTAGACAGAGTAGGAAAATGTATTGCTGTTGTCTAAACCTGACAAGGTCTTATTGACAGTCAGTTTGTCTCCTATGTATGTGGATTTGGTAATCAACATAAAAGTTTTCAGGCGTTTTGCATGCCAGGCAGTCAGAGAGTTGTGTGTCCCTGTACTTTCTTACGGATTAATTTGCCTTTGATGGCTCTACAGCAGGAACTCTGGAAATTTCAAGTCAAGCAGTTAGGTTGATTGTGTGTTATCTTTCCTGAGTAAGGACTTGACTTGGACCCTAGACTTGAAGTACCAGCATGTATAATGTGAGCAACCTTCATCAAATTCTGCTGTGTTTAGACAATCTTCAGTACGGGCATAAACTGGCCCAGCTAACTCTTTAAACTGAGGCAGCTGAAGCATCCTGGCATGATCTATTAAAATTATTTATTTGGGGAGGGAAGGCACATTTTTTGGTGGCAACAGTGTTGGGGAAGAGGGCTGTCTGTCTTGAATTGCTTCAGCTTGATCCACAAAGGGTCTGATGGAGGCATGTGGTAGGGAGAGGGCTCTGAGCACTGTTGAAAACAGCTTATGAGGCCCTGGTCTTTTGTCCCATGCTTGTTTTGTCTTGTTATCCCACATCACTCATCAGTCAAGCTATTCAGATGATAAATGAACTTCTGTTTTGAAAATTCCCTGTTTAAATAGGAGAGAGCCTTAGCATCTATATGTGAAACAAGCCTGACAGGCAAGGCCAATTTTAAGAGTCTTCCAGCAGCTGTATGGTACAGCTAGGACAAGACAGTTTTTTCTTTTTTCTCTTCGTTTAGTGTAGGTAGGCACAGGAAAGAGCATATTTTTTGGCTTAGCGGTGCAACAGTAAGGTGGATCTGATCTGTGATGAGTTACTGCAGTGACTTGATGTATATCCATTTTAAAAATCTGACATTAAAATGTAGTTAGTAGTAATGGCAAGAGTAGCTCAATTTCATAAGCAACTCAGTGCACAGCAGTTACTTGATTCCAGTGAAAGAACAAGTTTTAATATTGCTTTTTCTTTATATAAGAATATACTGATGAATCCTTATCCATTATTAACAACATATTGTGTGAAAATTGCATGTTATATGACTCATGCCACCAATAAGCATCTGCACATTTCCATAACAATATATCATTCATAATATATTCATTTTGCCATTATGTATTATATGACCTATTCTATGGCTCATTTTGAAGTAAGAAGATTTAAAAATGTATCATTTTCTTCATTGGCAGTCCATTCTGTTCATTTTTCACCCATTCCTATGGCATACAGTGGGTTGTGCAGACTTTGCTGTCTTGTGCTTCGGTTCTGCTTCACAATCCAAGGTGTATTTGTCCAGAATATATATGGTTCTAAGCAGACAGTCATACTTCACTACATTCAGTAGCCTGGCATTTTATACAGCTGTAGGCCTGCTGTCCTCCTTGCACTGTTATTATATATTTCAGTTATCAGGGGGACCAGTGAAGCTTGGTTCCCCATGACTTTGTGTTGAAGAGTTAATGACAGTATATATTCTCTGAGGTCCAATAAGGATTAATCTTTCTGTAGGATCCCTGCATAAGCAACATGTCTATCCTCTCTTGCCACGCTTATTATCAGGGAGTGGAATTTCAGCGAGACTTCTCCCTGCAAAATTCAACTGAACTTGGCTTCTAGACTAGAAAGTTATCAAGGGTGACTGACAGGCACACGCTTACGCACAGAGAAACAGATTTGCCTCATTTCATTAGGAAACCAATACTAAATCAGGAATAACTCTGCTGAAATACCACAGGTATGAAGCCTCAACATTTGTACAATTACTGTGGGCACAGTGATAATTTCTGTCTTTATTAATGAGGCATTAGTGCAGCTTTTGGGATTTTGCAGAAGTATAGGGAAATTTAGTCTACTATGAAAGCCCCCTTGTTTGTGTGCTTCAGCTTGGTAAGAAAAAACAACTCTTATGAAACAGCCCTCTCTGATTTGCAGAATCAGAACCTCAGTTTTGCACCAGATTTTCATCTACATGTATCTCTGAGATTTGCTGTTGGCTGGGTAGTAGTAAACAAAGGACAAGTGCATGCAAATATCAAGGTACAAATAATCTTATTTTACGGTTAACCCCTATGGAATTGGTCTCCAGTGTTAGAAGACATTTTCCCACTTGATTAGCTAAATCCAGAATATGAATGTGTAACTTCGTATTTTAATATTTTTTTTTATTTTTTCCTTGTGCTTTTGGAGCAACAGAACAGTATGAGAGACAGAAAACAATGAGAGGCTTGAATTACGATGGTAACAAGCTGAAAACGGCTTTATCTTCTTAGTAAATAAGGTGTGAACAATAATTCCCTGTTAGACAGGTTCTTCAATTATACATTCGTGTTAGTAATAAAATAAACATGTTTTCAATAACATTTGGGATATAAATACATTCTTCTTTTTTACTAACTACTCTGCAGAGTGTAATACTGTACTTACCAATCTACTGCAGTGTGTAGCAGCTCTAGCCCATTCTTGTCTATTAAAAATTAAATCATTTTACCATACATTATTAAAAGTGCTTTGGTTGGCTGCAAATCAAGAAAGACTTCATAAAATCTTAGAAGAACAAGAAATCTGATTAAGTCTAGGGTCCACAGGCAGCAAGGGAAAATGCCTGAGAAGAAAAATACAACATTAAATTATGTCTTAAAAACTCTTTCAGGACTTTAAAAAATCATTAG